TCTCTAAGGGGAAGGGCTGGCCTTTCTCAATTGAGCAGAACTAACACCTGCAATACAAAGCAGAAAGCCTCTCAACCCCGCCATGTCCAGTGAGTGACTAAGACAGCTTTCTCCCAGCCGTAACACCACAGCACCGCTGAGACTATCCGTTGTTTGTGAGTGTAAGTGTAGTGTTATAACATGCTGCAGTTTTCTAACAGGAAGATTCTACCCTCATCTATTGCAGTTCGCCCTCTGCTACCTCAAACATTAAAATACTATTGCCTTTTCCATCCTTCTAACTCCAGTAGTCTAACTTCTTCCTGGCCTAGACAGTAGCCATCGATACATCATCGCTGCTGGGGAGACCATGGGGCTGGATGCAGATGTGCAGAGAGACAGAGCCATGGCTCTGATACTGTCCTGTGTAAGACTGGAAGAGGGCTGAAGGTGTAGCTCATTGGTAGAGTATGTTTGGTTAGTATGCATAGTTCAGTAGTTAGCCTGCTTCAATCCCTAATACTGGAAAGTAGTTGACACTGAAGACTGTGGTAGCCTATGGGGAGGTGGATGGAAAGAATTGTCTAGAGCAGCTCTGGAAGTCTCGAGATATGCCAGTGTTGCAGCTGAACTTGCCCAGGAGACCTGCCCAAGGCTGCTGGCTGAATCTTCACTTAGTTTCTGACTTTTTAGTGTCTTTTACTTTTGTTTTCAGGACGTGGTGTTTTCCGCCCCGTTTGGGGTTTCCTGTTTTAATGTTTGAGTTGCTTCAGCTTTGATATGTCGTAGAGAATGGGAAAAAAATCTAAGAATTTTACCACACACACACATACACACACACACACACACACACACACACACACACACACACACACACACACACACACACACGGAAAAAGAGAGAGAGAAAGAAAACCCCCAAACCCAGTGCCTTCTTGTAGTTGCCGCCAGTTGCTTCACTTGTCGTGGAACGTGATCACAATCAGGATGTAGGGTTAGAGGTTTGTCCCCTAATGCCTGTTTTTCCTCATTGCTGGGGACACACTTTGATCCTGGTGGTTGGAGAATACATGAGACATTCATTTAAAAAAAAGAAAGAAAGAAAGAAAGAAAGAAAGAAAGAAAGAAAGAAAGAAAGAAAGAAAGAAAGAAGAAATTCACTGTGTAGCCCAGTGGTTCAGCACAAAAGTATGAAAAGGGAACTTTGCTTCCTGTGTCTCTTGACAGGCTTGAAAGGAACTCGGATCCCTGGTTCCTGCACCGTCTGTCTCCCCAGCCCCCTCTCACATCCCACTCTTCCCAGAGCTGCCTTTGCTGAACTTGACCTGCCTACCCTTCCTTTGTTCTCAGTACGTGGGATGACTGTGTCTGTGGAGGTAGAGAATTCTCTCCCTCCTTTGCTTTCCTGAGTCCCACACATGACCCGGCAGGACCCCTTTCTGGGGCAGGGAATGGAAGTTGGTGGTGATTGTAGAATTATTTTTGGTGAGGTGGGGGACCCTCTGAAGCTTCTTTTGTCTAAAATGTTAGCATTTCTCAGCTGTGTTTGGAGAAATGACACTTTGCCTGGTAATAGTGCATCAAACCTGTCCTCACACTGATTTGCAGTCTTGTTGGGGGTATTTTATTCTTCTTTTTATTGCCCCTAGAAGGAGGAAAAGGTGTGTGTGTGAGAGAGAGAGAGAGAGAGAGAGAGAGAGAGAGAGAGAGAGAGAGAGAGAGAGGGTGAAGTCAAAGCAGGATGTCAGACGTCTTCTGTTGATCTTTTTCTCTTGAGATAAGGTCTCTCACTGAATCTGAAGCTCACTGTTTGGGCTAGACTGGCTAGCAAGTAAGCTACCTATTAGTATCTGCCTGGCTTTGCCAATGCTGTGGTCACAGGCACACGTGACAGTCGGTGCCCGGCTTTTATGTGGGTTTCAGGAATCAAACTCATGTCTGCACAGCAAATGCTCTTACCCACTGAGCCTTCTTTCCAGCTTTAAATTTATTCCTTTTACTTGTCATTCTACTCACTACCAGTGCTGATTTGAAAATATGTTCAGCTTCATAATCTCAGATAAGAAGACAGCCAAGTGCTCAGGCAGGCAGCTTCCAGAACTACATGGCCTTTGAATACTGGCTCTGACATTTATTGGGCAACTCCCATTAGGTGGCTGCTTAATCTTCTTGTCCCTAACAGTCCTCTAATCTACAAAGCAAAGGTGATTATAGTAACCACAATGAAAATAGCACCTAGTATTTGTTGTGTGCTTAGTGAGAAAGATACTGTGGCCAGGCCTTCCCTGACATTTCCTTAAAGCTCCACAGCAGTTCTGTGCCTTCGGCCTTGTGACGGTAAAATGCACAGGCACGTACGAAGCACTTGCTGTGCACAGGGAACCATTCTGTACTGCCTTCTTTCCTAGACTGGGAGATGGAGGTAGGGGGAGGTTCTAGATTGGGAGATGGAGGTAGAGGGAGGTTCCCATGAGGACTTGGTGCTCCTCTGTGGCACCGGTAAGAAGGAGGTGATCTGTGAAGCACTCACAGCTACTTCATTGTGATGAGACAGAGTTCTTCCCACTCTTCTGACTTAGAAGACATGCTCCTAGTAGCATTGCCAGAGAACAGCTTGTACGGATCCTTACGTGGCTGTGCAGCCATGTCTGCCTCATACATGGCATCCTGCAGAGTTCAATCCAGCCTGCCTCTGGATGACTCCCTTGTACCCACACCAGAACCCCAAGACCATGCCTCTTCACCCTTCTTGACCTGGGTTACTTAACCAAAAAATGTGAACACATAAGATATGGGGTTAGCTAATTGTCGCTCAGACTATAAATAAATATATAATATATATGAATAACATATATGTATATATATGGATATTAAAAATGGATCCATATTATTTTCAGGGAAATAGATGAAACACAAGATCATCGTGCTAAATGAAATTAGCCAGAAGCAAAAAAAGTATTGTGTGTTTTCTCTCTTATGTAAAAAGTTAAAAAAAAAAAAAGATCTGAAAGACATTCGTTCTTTGATTAGTTCAGAAACACACTCTACATCGAGCAGTCCTCCCAGCGTTGAGTCCTCTCAGAGTGGCCGGAGGGGTGCTCCCTGACCCGTTTTGGAAGCCAGCAACCGTCAGAACTGACAGTGTGCAAATCCTGATGCAGTATTCCTCATCTTCAAGTTATCTGTATAGACAAGCTGCCAGGACTCCTTAGGGGATGTTGGCAATGGATGCTCAATGCTTGCCCATGCATTGTTTGTAAAGAGTGCAAAACTGTCCAGATGTTCATCAGGAGGCAGTACACACAGGACCAGCCATGCTGACAGACTGGGCATTCCCTACAAAGAGTGCCCTCAAGGCTAGGAAGCTAGCTTCAACCCCTGACGGGAAGGAAGGAGTCAGGCTGTACATACAAACTGTGTGTAGTGTACCATTTTTCTAAAAATATTTTTACAGCTTCCACAAGTTACATATTCATAGATAATCATATCCTGTGTGTATGTGTGAGTGTGTGCCATGTGTCAGTAGAGGCCAGAAGAGACTGTTGGCTCCCCTGGACCTAGAGTTTCAGGGATGCTCAGAACTAGGGTCCTATGCACTCCTAACCACTGAGCCATCCATCTCCCTAGCCCCAACTCTGTGTTTTTAAACAAATAGTTTGCTGAATTTCTGAGAAATAGTTAATATAATTATTTGAGCTGCCAAATAACTTCTCTAGATAGGTAACCATTTTTAAAATGGTCTTTTAAGTAAAGGGAAATATATTTTAAAATTTGCTGGTATCTATTTTTTCCTGATTTTCTGGTAAATTCTATCATTATTAGGAATATAAATACACATGAAATATCCAGATGATCAAAAATGATGAAATCATAGATTCCATGCTGATGAGGGTTGCAGTTGGTCACTGGAATTTTACTCAGTGATCTTCTGTGGAGGAAATTATTTCAAAACAAACCCCAGGAGGTTTGGCCACCGTTCAGAAGTCCTCTTCCTCATTTGTACTTCAGCTTGTCACATGCCCAAGCAGAGCATGCTGGGGAATCTCCTGGACACGGCAAAATACAGTATTCCATCCTCTGGTCCCTCACCCCCTAGTTTTTTGCTTTGTTGGACCAGGAATCACAGTGGGCATCCAAAGCAGTCTATGTGGAAAGTGGTACCCATGCTTCTGTGATTGGCTCACTCCCGTGTGACTCAAGTGATGCTGTGACCTAGAATTCCTCAAAACAGCAATGGGTAATGGGTCTCCAGAGCCTACCTGGCAAGTAACAAGTACCAAGAGGTACTCAGCTAGAAATGAGTATGGGCTGCACTGTGCTGGTGCTTCTGAACTTCATGTCGCCCCCACCCTACAGGGAAACTCAGATCGAGGTAGTCTGGTGTCATAGTCACATGGGCTCCATCATGGAAACAGGATTTGAACTCAGGGTTCTGAAGCCCATGCTTCCTATGTACATTGCAGACTATTAATTTTGCAGAAATGATCATGGGAGTAATGACATGATTCTTTAATTTTGGATTTAGTGTTTGAATGCTCTAAAAACATGTATGTAGGCCTGGGGGTGGATATCTTCTAAGCGTGGGTGTGACGGTGTGTGCTTGTAATCCCAGCACTGAAGAGGCAGACACCAGTGGATCCCTAGGCCTTGCCGGTCGGCCAGTCTAGTCTAGCTTTGTAGGTGAATCTAAGGCCAGTTAGAGACTGCATCTCAAAGAAGGTTTGTGGTACCTGAGGAATGGTGCTGGCAGTTGTCCCCCCTGCCCTCCCCATCTCTCTCTCTCTCTCTCTCTCTCTCTCTCTCTCTCTCTCTCTCTCTCTCTCTCTCTCTCTCTCACACACACACACACACACACACATATAACTTTGTACCTTATATACAGTGCATCTGTGCATACACAAACATATATGTACATACACAAAAATGTGTATAAATTGATGATAGACCCTTGGGAGCAAAACTATCCAATATCCCTTAAAGCAGATTTATAACTACGATATGCATGTCTCCTTGTTTTGTAGGAAGTGACCAAGTTCACTCCTGGATACTAGTTACGAGCCAAGTGGTTAACACTGCCTGGAGAATAGCAAGGGCCTTTGTGGTGATGGCTGTGTCGCTTCTGTCAGCCTCCCTCTGCTACTTCAGAAGGCTGCATCTGTATTTAGGGCATCGGCTGAAATGGTAGGTCATCCTGTCATCTTTCCTTTTCAAAAACACCATTGCCCCACAAAAAATTTCTATATATAATTGTTTCCTTTATATTTCAGGTGGATTGGATATCTGCAGAGAAAATTCAAAAGTAAGTACTGGAGTGCATGTGTTTCCTCATTTTGAAGGGTAGAGAGGGCTAAAGAAAGGAGAAGAATAGGACATTCAGCTGCCTTGTATTTCTGTTTTGCCCAGGAAACCTCAGTGTGGAGGCAGAAGTAGATTTACTCGGTTATTGTGCAAGAGAGTGGAAAGGAGAAACACCACGTGCCAAACTGATGCGGAGGGTATGTCTGCTTGTGGGGGGTTAAGGCAGGCTGGCGGGGTCTGTGAGAATCAGGGTGCGTTCTGTTCTGCTATGCTGAACCCAAAGGTTAGCCAGCACCAAATGGGATGTAAGGTAAAAGTTGCAGCCCAAGTCAGGAGCTAAGGAGCAGCTAGATGTTGGCTATAGGCTTGCCTGCTTTGCTCTTCTGTTGCTGCGATAGAACATTCTGACCAAAAGCAACTTGGGGAGGAAAGGATTTATTTGGCTTACAGTTCCAGGTCACAGTCCATCATTGAGGGGAATCGGGGCAGGACCTGAAGCAGAAACCATGGAAGAATACTACTTAACTGGCTTGCTTTCAGCATCTGGCCCAAGCCTACCTGCTTAGGGATGGGGCTGCCCACAGTGGGCTAGGCCCTTCCTTATCAGTTGTCAATCAAGACTGTCTCACAGGCATGGCCGTAAGCCAGTCTAATACAGTCAGTCCCCTCAAGTGAGGTTCCCCCTCCCCAGACGGCTCTAGACTGTTCAGTCAAGCTGAGTGGTGAGCTAACAAGGACTGAGAGTTTGTCATGCAGAAGGATAGACATCAGTTAGGTCTTTAACTGGAGGAAACATGAGAACTGCAATGTCTTCCTCTCTGACCTGTTAACTTCTGCACGTACCGTGCAGATACCCTGGCGTAAGTACTTTGAGGAGTTTTAGAATGTCCCGTTGGGCTGATCTTGGTAAATATTCCCAACAGCTCTGCCCACTCCTGTCTTGGGCAAAAAAGGGGAGGGAGAGGTCCAGTATACGCTTTCCTGCAATCTTAAAACTATGCAGTTTTTCGCTGTGGTTAAGTTGTGCTCATTATCAGCTGCAAATAACCTGTCCTGGTCTTCTGAGATCAGTCATCTAAACAGCACAAGGCAGACTCCATACACATGAGAGTCACTTTAAAACCCCATGCACAGGGTCACTGAAGTAGCTCAGAGAGAAAGCACTTGCTGTCAGTCTGCTGACCTGGGTGCAGGAGGACTATTCTCTGCTTCCAGATAGGCACTGGTTTGTGCGACCTGTACACACACACACACACACACACACACACACACACACACACACACACACACACACACACACACCACATATCACATATACACATATTCATACATACATCACACACATACAATAGTAATTATGATACTTTAGTGATGATAATGATTATAGAAATAAAATTGAAAATTAAATAAGAAGCTAGAAATATGTCTTACCTCTTAAGAGTACTTGCAATTCATACATAGGGCCTGAGTTCAGTTCCCAGCACCTGTGTCAAGAGGTTTATAACTACCTACCTCTAACACCAGCTCCAGGGAATCCAACACCTTCTTTGGGCTTCCATGGGGACCTGTACTCATTTGAAAACCCTCCCTCTACACACACACATACACACAAATACACATCATTTAAAAATATGTCTTCAAAAAATTTTAAACGCAAATCTTTTTAATTACATGTATAGCCACCTTTATCACTACTCGGCTTACTCGAGGTACTTGGGAACCATATCCCTCTGGAAACATGCTCACTCAGTGTTTCCACTGAAACTTCACTCCCAGTGTGAACTCTGCAGCTCTGTTCACTGAGCTCACTCTCACCAGCGTCTGATGCAGTGGGGTTCATCAGACCATCCTTGCGTACTGACAGGCTTATGAGGAACTATTCTGGAGGCACCATATTAAATGTGTTCGGCCAGTGAAGAGAGATAACTACGATGCTCTCAGGTCCGTGTTGTTTCAGATCTTCAGTCAAGGTCTGTCTTTTCCATCATGGATGAAAGAAAAGGACATCGTGAAGGTATGATTCCCCAATGGGGACATGGTCCATGTGGGGGCTACCAGTCCTGGCTGGGTAGCTTTGTGATCAGGATTCTCATGCTGAAGGAGTCTTGATAGGTGGATTAGCTGGTTCCCTACATTGTTTTGCAGATAAGACATCCCCACCTGCTGACATTCCCAATTTTGTTCATTTTTTTAATGCTCTCAGCATTTCTGAGGCATCTGTCCTTCGTAATTAGAGGAGGTCTAGTAACATGAGCCTTTTCACTATAACATAAATGTTTATTAACAGATGTATATGGATGTAGTCACCACCTGAAGGTTCTCTTATATACCTCTGTAGTCAGTTGTCCCCAGATCTCTCTGGTCCACACAATTCCTAATCTGTTTTCTGTCCCTACGGTTTGCTGCTTCCAGTATCATAAGAACAGAATCATCTATTCAGCCTTTCAAATCTGACTGCCTTCCCATAGCAGCGAGCATCTGCGTTTCCTCCCTGCTGTTCCACGAATGTAGAAGTCATCTTTTTGCTCCTCTATGGCAGCCCTATAGAACAAACTTTACTCACAGTTCAAGGGCATCTGGCTTGTTTCACTGTGCTTAGCAACAGTGAATTTGGCTGTTAGGAGTTGTCTTATATGGGGTTTCACAGGTATAGCATCTGTTTATTTTAGGCAATGCCCAGGAGTTAGATTCCTGGTGGTATGGGAGGTATGTGCTTAACTTTCAGAGGAACTCTCACATTGCTCTCCAAACCTGCTGGGCTCTTTGCATTCCCACCAGGATAGTGCAAGAGTTATAGTCACCCCACATAGTTTTTGGCCATTATACTATGTATGTTTTGTTTCTTCTTACTCATTTATTTGTGTGTGTGTGTGTGTGTGTGTGTGTGTGTGTGTGTGTGTGTGTGTGTTATGTGGGGGAAGGGGACATGCCATAGTACATGTGGAAGTCAGAGGACAATCCTGTGGAGCTGGTTCTCACCTTCCACCTCTACGTGGGCTCCAGAGATTGAACTCAGGTCATCAGACTTGCACAACAAGCTCCATTCCCCACTGAGCCATCTCGCCAGCCTTCATTTGCTTTTAATGAGCAGATGTTGTGTCTTTTCATGTACCTATTTGCAATCCATATCATCTTCTTGGAAAATTATGTACTTAAATCTTTTGTCTGTTTTTATTGGATTGTTGTCTTCTTATTGTTTTCAAAATCCTTTACATATTTTGAATATAAATGCTTTATTGAATATGTGATTTGTAGATTATTTCTTCCAATTTGTGTTTATGATACCATTTTCTTCATAGTTGATGGCAATATATTCCTTCTTGTTTATCTTGTGTATATGGGCGTTTTGCCTGCATGCATGTTGAGGTACCATGTGTGTGCAGTGCTGGTAGAAGACAGAAAAAGGCAAGGGTCCCATGGAACTAGAGTTACAGACAGTTGTGAGCAAGAAATAAGAAATATAAAGTATACAAATATATGGTCCCATGTGTTCTATCTCCTTGATGTCTTTTATTGAAATTGGTTTTCAGTAGTTCTGTTTCATAGCAAATACTTGTCAAATAAATGTTGTATCCTAACCCTGCTTCTAGTTAACTAGAATAAAGTACGTGACAGAAATCCTGTGTTCAACTCCCAAGTTTGTGGGACATGGTATTCATTGCCCACAGTGGAATAGGTTCTTATAGACACCATAGTCCAATCTTTGCATGTCCCAGAATTTAATCCAGAGCTCTGTGGAATTAATGACATTGTTGTTCATTTATAGTGGATGGTGAGGCAAAGCCAGTCCCCAGCTGATGAAGGACAGCCAGGTTGGGAAGCGTGTTGCACCATTGTGTAACCCACCCGCTATCTAACGCCATTTAATGATGGACAGTTCCTAAAGGGTTACATTAAGGGCAAATGGCATTTTATCCCAAACAGAGTTTCTGTGGACATAACCCTGGCTTTAGATTTTTGTTTAGAATAGAATCTAAAACTCACTTAGCCCACAAATCTAAAGCGAAGATGACTGTTGTTTTTCTCTTAACTGATCTGGTGGTCTTTCCGAGGATTGCTGCATGAGATAAGACTGTGTGCTTGCTGCGTTCCAGATGGTGCGTGCTAAGCGCTGAGACACTAATCGTTGTTGGCATCTACTTCCTTTTCAAGCTTCCTGAAAAACTACTCTTTTCTCAAGGCTGTAACTGGATCCAGCAGTACAGTTTCGGACCTGAGAAATATACAGGTTCCAATGTGTTCGGAAAGTTACGGAAATGTGTGGAATTATTGAAGATACGGGTGAGTGTTGAGGGCAAAAAAAAAAAAAAAAAGAAAAGAAAACGACCAGGGATAAAAGCATCTCAACCGCAGCCTGTAATGTGGGGGCAGTTCCTGTGTAGTAGTCGTAGTCGTTGTAGTTGTAGGGAAACGAAAATGAGCATGGTAGGCCTCCTGCTGGTGGTGGTCTCTAGCTTCCTCTTACCAAGTAGTAAGCCAGAATTACTGTTCTGGCTTGGCCTGTTGTGGGGTGGAAGCTTCAGGGGCTGCATCAGAGACTGGACAGGCGAAGGGACTTTGTTTCCAATATGGTACAAAGTCCAGACCTCAGAAATGCCCTTCTGCAAGCGCCCTGCCCACACAGCGATGGCACAGGTGCAGTAAGTAGACGGAAAGCTCCGCCTAACTCAATAACAACAGACTTGGGGCCATGGAAAGTGTGTGGAGCTTATCTCTTACCGGCTGGCTTATCTGGGGGAAATGGCTCTGAGTCATAGCTGTCTTCTCTCTGAAGAACTGTGAATAGCATATACCCTGCTCGGCTATGGTGAGGGTGTGAGTTAATCCGCACAGGTGCTGTGCAGAGTGAGCTCAGGCAGTGCTCTTGTAGCATTCTTCACTGGTGTAGCCTCTGGACAACCCCATGGCCCCAAGGGCTTTTAGAAACCTGACACGTTTGACAGTTTACCTAGTAGTGGTGTGTTTTGAGAAACCTGATTTTGTTTCTATTGTAAAAGTAAGGTGTTTGTGTGTTGGTCTGGTAGCTCAGGCCTCTCTTACGCCACTGAGGGCTTAACTAACCACTGATTATCTCTTGGCAGTTATGAAGGTTGGAAGTCTGAGATCAGGAGGTTAGCGGGAAGTGACATTTGGTGACAGCCCTCTTTCTAGTTTACTTTTTGTTTGTTTTGTTCTGCCATCACATGGCAGAAGGAGAACCAGAAATTGTTTGGCTTCCTCTTAGAGGCACACCTATCCTATTCACGAGGGCCCTAACCCGAAAAGGCCAGTCACCATGTAAAGGTCCCACCTGCTAAGGCTGTCTCCCTGGACAAAGACATTCAGCACTTGAGTTTGGGAGGCAGGTGAACATTCAGCCCCATTGCAATAAACTTACAGTTAAAAGGAATCAAACAGTCCCGAAGGACAGACATGAAAATACAAAATGCTGCCCTCGTCTGCTGCCCTGCTGGCCTCCCCTTAAGCTGATTTTATTAGTACTTTACAATTTGTACAGTGGTTTGTGTGTTCACGTTTGCCCTTCTGAGCTCACACTTACCCGTGTGTTTGCAGTGGACTGAGTTTAGTGGGATGAGAGATTATCACAAGAGAGGAAGCATGTGCAACACACTCTTCTGTGACGCCATCCTGGAGTATAAGCTGTACGAAGCTTTGAAGTTCATCATGCTCTACCAGGTCACGGAAATGTACGAGCAGATGAAGACGAACAAGGTCATCCCCAGCCTCTTCCGAATCCTTTTTTCAAGGGAGTCGTCATCAGATCCTCTGAGCTTCATGATGAATCACCTGAACTCCATAGGGGACACGTGTGGATTGGAGCAGGTGAGTGGGACTCACAGCCTGTGATCCCGGATGGCTCAGTAATGCTTGTGCCCAAGGGCCTTTAGGATCATGTGTAGCAGTGAGGAGACCAGCTGCACAGAGGGGTGGCTGGGATTGCTGGCCCCACATGTGTGAAAGAGGAATAGCAGGCCTCGTTGCTGGCTGCTACATCCTGTGAGGCTGAGGACCCTTGGACCAGAGAGGGCTGGTTTGTAGAGCCTTGTGACCACACAGATATGAACTGGGGAAAGGCCACTCAGAAAGCCAGATAGTTGTGGGGAAGCATTCGGTTACTGGTCATGGATAAAGGTTAGCAACAACTATAAGGTCAGAGAGCCCCTCCCCATGACAAAGGTCTTCTGTTACTTGTTTTCCATCCAAAAGAGGTGCTAAGTCAGATGACATCTTTACTAAGATATCAAATTCATTGGAAAGCAATGCAGTTCTTAATAGCAAGCACCCTCCCATTTCCTCCCCATCCCCTCTTCTCCTTCTCTCCCTCCCTTCCCCTCTCCTTTTCTTTTCGCCTTGGAGGTAAGGTCCCACTCTGTAGCCCAGGCTGGTCTGGAACTCACTCTGTAGCCCAGACTGGCCTCCAGCTCACAGCAATCCTCCTGCCTCAGCTCCCAGAAAGCTATGATTGAGGCTGTGAGCCGCTGCCCTGGCTTGAGCATTCCTTTCTGTTCTGAACAGTTTCTCCTGATTTTATGTCACTAGACATGGCCCTACCCTCCTTCCGCACCGTGGAAATTTGTCCCTAAGTCATGCCCACTTGCTTTCTGGGTTACTCCATTAAAATGTGGGTCATCTCATAAACCATAACAGGCCTCATCGTGGTGGGAGTGTATAAAGACAATCTGTGACCTCACTTTCATCTTATCCCCAGATTGACATGTTTATACTCGGGTATTCCCTTCAAGTAAAGATAAAAGTGTTCCGACTGTTCAAGTTTAACTCCAGAGACTTTACAGTCTGCTATCCCGAGGAGCCTCTCAGGGAGTGGCCAGAGATCTCGCTGCTGACCGAGAATGACCGCCAGTACCACATTCCTGTCTTTTAAGTCTGCGGTGGACTGAACGTCAGCTTTTCTCAGTGACAGTGGTCATACTTGCAAGAAGAGTGTTTCTGAAAAACTCACGGGAGCATTTCAGCCAAGGACAGCACCAAGACTACGGGAACCCTGGGTGGAGAGAGCCAGGTGCTTCGCCTTCCTCCTTCGGTGACCCCTCCACAGCGGCACACTTTTGGGGTTTGGTTGGTCGGTTTTGTCCTGTGAGACGCATTGGAGTTGCAGCATGATGTGCCTTAATACGGAGAAACTTAGTGTGGACACAAATGGGGAGGGAAATGGCTGACTCAGCAGCAGGGACTTTTTTTTTTTTTAATCTCTGACCTTTGTGTTCTTTGGTAAGAATCTCTCTGGGGACTTGGGATGATCATAAATAAACAGGGCGACATTTTATAAGCATTACCTTCCTGGGATTCTTTGTTGTTTACTAATTTTCTAGAACCACCTGACTAATGTTAAAATACTGTGTGTGCAAGAAAACCCACAGAACAAGCTAACCTGGGCTCACGGGCTCACAGAGACTGAACCAACAACCAGGGAGCCTACATGGAGCTGACCAAGGCTCTCTGCATATGTGTTACAGTTGTGTAGCTTGGTCCTCTTGTGGGAGCAGGGGATGTCTCTGACTCTGTTGCCTGCTTTTGGGACCCTTTCCTCCTATGGGGTTGCCTCATCCAGTCTTACCAGAAGAGGAGATGCCTAGTCTCACTGTAACTTGATATCCCATGACCGTTGATATCCATGGGAGGCCTGCCCTTTTCTGAAGAGGAACAGAGGAGGAGTGCATGGAAGAGAAGAGGAGAAGGAAGTGTGGGGGGAGCTAAGAGAAGAGGATGGAGGGGAAGCTTTGGTTGGGATATAAAAACAAAAAAACAAAACTAAAGTAAATATCGAGTGTGTATGTACATATGTGTTTATATGTACATATAAATAAATGTATTCACATATACACAAACACAACCACTGGTTTGTAATATTGTACAGTTTCTTTAGATCTCTACATTTTAGGGGGCAACTGTTGAGTCTGGTCAGTTTATATCAGTTTATTTAAATAAAAGAAGATAAATCCTATGGATTTGGACAACTGTGTGGTAATTTTTTTGAACTGTCATAAAAACATTAAGCTATGCTTTATTTGATCTTTATTTACAATGCCATTTAATGAGTAGACTTTTGTGATTAGTTAAGTAATATTCCAGGTACAGAGCGGTCTGTGTCATCCCAGAACCCCTGAAGACTTTGGTTAAACAGCAAAGGAGACTTCAAGTGCAGGTGGGACTAATGCACCAGCACTCTGACCTTGAAGAGGTCCATGCATCTACTCTCCAGGTGGCCCTGGTGTGGCACAAAGGCCCATAAAGGTGGAAGAGGAAATGAGTTCCTGCATCAGAGGACACTAGCTTTGAAGCCAGAGAAAGAGGCCACAAGTAACGAATGCTGGGAACTCTACAAATGAGAGAAAAGCAAAAACAGACCTTCCTCTGAGCCGCAGAAGGAACATGACTGTGCCAACATGTTGCTTTTGGCTTGCTGATGTCTCAGTCGCACCTCTAACCCGGTAGAATAATGGGTTTGAATGTAAGCCTGCTTCTGTTTTGTTTAGTGTGGGGCTGGGGAGTGAGACAGGGTCTCTTAATGTATCTCCAGTTGCCTTGGAACTCACTATGTAGACCAAGTTAGCCTCAAATTCGTAGAGGTCTGCCTGCTCCTGCCTCCTCAGTGCTGGGATTAAACTCGGGTGCCACCACACCACACCTGTCTTAGTTAAGGTTTCTACTGCTGTGAAGAGACACCATGACCACAGCACCTCTTATAAAGGAAAACATTTAATTGGGGTGGCTTACAGTTCAGAGGTTTAGTCCGTTATCATGGTGAGACATGGTCCCGTGTGGGTAGACATGGTGCTGGAGCTAAGAGTTCTTCATCTTGATGTATAGGCATCAGCAGGAGACTGACTGTGTGCCACATTGAGGTGTAGCTTGAACATTTGAGACCTCAAAGCTTCTCCCCACAGTGAAACACTGATTCCAACAAGGCCGCATCTCCTAATAGTGCAACTCCCTGTGGGCCAAGCATTCAAATGCATGAGTCTATGAGGCCCATACCTAGTCAAACCACCACATTTCACATTCTGGCCACTGTTGTGGAATATTAGAATGTATTACATTTGTTTGTGCTGTGGAACATTTGTTTAATGATGCAAAGATGTGTTGCATTCTTTTTTATTTTATTATTTTAATTTTAAATAGCTTGATTCACATGTCAATCCCAGTTCCCTCTCCCTCCCCTCCTCCAGCACCCCCCACCATCCCCTCCAGCCTCCCACCCTATCCCCACTTCCTTACACATAGAGGATATCTAGAGTCTGTCATTTCACTCAGCGCAGGATCCAGGCACTCCCCTAAGAGTCCAGGCTGAGAGAGCATCCCTCTTTGTGTTATGGACTCACGAAGTCCATTTGTATGCCAGAGATAAACACTGATCTACTTCCCAGGGCCCCATAGGTTGCCCAGGCCTCCTCACTGACTCTCACACTCAGGGGGTCTGGATCAGTCCCATGCTGGCCTCCCAGCTGTCGGTCTGGGGTCCAAGAGCTCTCCCCTGTTCAGATCAGCTGTCTCTGCTGGTTTTGCCAGCCCATTCTTTGCCAATTTGCTCATCGCTCCTCTCTGTCACTGGGTTCCATGGGTTCAGTTCAGTGTTTAACTGTGGGTGTTTGCCTCTGCTTCCATCAGTCACTGGATGAAGACTCCAGGATGGTTATAGAAATCAAGTTCATTATCAGGAATGGGCATTCGAGGTGGTCTCTCCACTATTGCTTAGCTTGCCGGTTGGTGTCATCCCTTTAGATCACCAGAGGTCTCACTGGTGCCAGATCTGTCTTCTAACCTATGATTCCCTCTTCCCCCTATCCTACCCTCCACTTGACCTTTTATGTCGCATTTGTTTAACTCTGTGAAACTGTGTTACTTTGCCTGTCTAAAACACCTGATAGCCTAATAAAGAGCTGAATGGCCAACAGCAAGGCAGGAGCAAGGATAGGTGGGGCTGGCTGCAGAGAGAATAAACAGAAGGAGCAAGAAAGGGAGAGAAGGACTCTAGGGGCCAGCCACCTAGCTACACTGCCAGCCACAGAGTAAGAGTGAAAGTAAGATATACAAAAGTAAGAAAAGGAAAAAAACCCAGAGGCAAAAGGTAGATGAGATGACTAAATTAAGAAAAGCTGGCTAGCAACAAGCCAAGCTAAGGCCACCTCTGTATGAATTATCTTTTTGCCTGTTTGTTTTGTTTGCAAGACAGTGTTTCTCTGTGTAATAGCCCTATCTGTCATGGAACTAACTTTTTAGACCAGGTTATCATCAAACTCACAGAGATCTGCCTGCCTCTGCCTCCTGAGTGCTGAGATTAAAGGCATGTACCACTATCGCCTGGCCTTCATGTGAATTATTTGAGACATGGGTGGAAAGACCACACCCCAAAGAGCCAAAGAGTCAAAAGAGTAAAAAACAACTATAGGCAGCCATAGGTTTGTAATCATAATGTAATGCAGAAGTGCATTTAGTCCAACTTCAAAAGTCCCCATAGTCTGTAACAGTCTCAAACTGCTTTTCTAATCTAAACTTCTAAGTCCAAATACCTCCAAACAAAAGCATAGTCAGGGATATCACAGCAATACCCCAGTCCCTGGTACAAACTTCTGTCTTTAGGTTTTATTGCTGTGAAGAGACACCATAACCATAGCAACTCTTATAAAGGAAACATTTAATTGGGGCTGGCTTATAGTTTCCGAGGTTTAGTCCCTTATCACCATGGCAGGAAACATGGTGGCATTCACGCAGACATGGTACTGGAGAAACAGCTGAGAGTTCTACATTTTAAAATGCAGGCAACAGGAAAAAGACTGGCTGAGACTTTAAAGCCCACCCCCACAGGGACACACCCCAGCAAGGCCACACCTACTCCAACAAGGTCACGCTTCCTAATAGTGCCTCTTCCTATGGGTCAAGCATTCAAATACATGATCCTATGGGGGCCATACCTAGACAAACCACCAAAGGAATGGGACTGGGGAATAGTAAGCATTTAGTTAAATATCTGAAGACTATCTTGTCCACTTCTCTACCTAACTACATACATGGGATTGTGAAGGTCAGAGATGTTAAATAATTTCACAGTTTTTTCTCTTTATCTGTAGAACTTTAATATATAATTTGTTCCTTTAAGATTTACTGTGTGTGTGTGTGTGTGTGTGTGTGTGTGTGTGTGTATGCATACAAGGTTCCTATGGCAACCAGAAAAGGGCATTAGATACCCTGGAACAAGTGTTATAGGCTGTTGTGAGCTGCCCATTTTAGGCTGTGAGAAACTATTTTAGGTTCTGTGCAAGAATAGCAAGTTCAAAGAACACACTTAACTCCTGAGCTATCTATCTCTCTATCTCCCTTATATACAATTTCTAGTTTTGAAGTGGTAAATCTTACCTCTTAAATTTTGTTGGCAGGAATGATCATATGGAATAATGCATAAGGTAGTGTAGTCTGCAGTTTGGTTGTTAAAGTTAATCATGGATCCAGATTCCAGAGGATAAAAGACTAGATGCAGATCTGGCAATCTTCATGTCCTTTAGAAAATAGTCCATTTCTTGAGAATTTGCATCAATCTGAAGCATGCTCAAAAATCTCATTCTGGCTACAAAGGGTTTCAGTTGAATTCATCTTAATCCCTGAGTATATCCAGAATACATGTTGAGTATATCCAGAATACATGTCTGGGCTTCTATTGTCACAGATGATTTCCTAAAGAAAATGAATTCCCTGATGATTTGTCCAAGAATTCAGTAATATTCCATTGTTTTTTTCCACTGAGTAGTACTCTATTGTGTAAATGTACCACATTTTCTCTATCCACTCTTCAGTTGAGGGGCATCTAGGTTGCTTCCAGGTTCTAGCTATTACAAATAATGCTGCTATGAACATAGTGGAACAGATGTCCTTGTTGTATGAATGTGCATCCTTTGGGTATATGCCTAAGAGTGGAATTGCTGGATCTTGAGGTAGACTGATTCCAATTTTTCTGAGGAATCTCCATACTGATTTCCAAAGTGGTTGTACAAGTTGGCACTCCCACCAGTAGTGGAGGAATGTTCCCTTTTCTCCACATCCTCTCCAGCATGAACTGTCATCGGTGTTTTTGATTTTAGTCATTCTGACAGGAGAGAGGTGGTATCTCAGAGTTGTTTTGATTTGCATTTCCCTTATGGCTAAGGATGTTGAGCACGTTCTCAAGTGTCTATCAGCCATTTTAAACTCCTCTATTGATTATTCTCTATTTAGTTCTGTACCCCACTTTTCAATTGGATCCTTTGGTATTTTGGAGACTTGCTTCTTGAGTTCTTTGTAAATTTTGGAGATCAGCCCTCTGTAAGATGTGGGGTTAGTAAATATCTTTTCCCATTCTGTGGGCTGCCTTTTTGTCTTGTTAACTGTGTCCTTTGCCTTACAGAAGCTTCTCAGTTTCAGGAGGTCCCATTTATTAATTGTCGATCTCAGTGTCTGTGCTACTGGTGTTATGTTCAGGAAGCAGTCTCCTATACCAATTTATTCAAGGGTATCTCCCACTTTCTCTTCTAAGAGTTTCAGTGTGACTGGATTTATGTTGCTGTCTTTGATCCATTTGGACTTCAGTTTTGTTCAAGGTGATAGAAATCTATCTGCAGTCTTCTACATGCCAATGTCCAGTTATGCTAGCACCATTTGTTGAAGATGCTGTCTTTTTTCCAATGTATAATTTTAGCGTCTTTGTCAAAAATCAAGTGTTCATAGGTATGTGGGTTAGTATCAGGAATCTTGAAACTTGCCAGCAAATGAATGGCACTATGAGAAACCATCCTGTGTGAGGTAACCCAGTCACAAAAAGACAAGCATGGTACGTACTCACTCATGGAGTATGGGATTCCCAGAGAGTATGGGAAGCAGGGAGGACCCTAAGAGAGATATGCATAGTAACCCAGAGAAGTGGAATCGGACAGAATCTTCTGAGGAGATTAGGAGCACGGAGAAGGTGGGCTAGAG